TTGTTCAGGAACTTATTGGTATTGTATAGTATAGTATTTAACTCAGTAAAATAAAATTTACACACACTTGTTCATTAGAAAAGCTACGTCTGGCCTAATTCTGTACTCGATCCGGGACCAGGGAAACTAATTTCGTTCATCCCATGTTTAACATGTGTTGCAATGACAATAAAGAACCTTGAGACCTTTAGTCCTTGAGTCCTATACAAGTTTGTGTAAATTAATTTTTACACACACCACACTGACACACATTCATTTATTATCCTCACTCTTGTCTAAAGGTTCTGTGCAAAGGATTTATTAATGTAGTGATAACAAAATATTGCGGTTGAGAATTTCTCAGTCTTGTCAAGGATAAACATAACAGTAAAGAATTAAAGAATTATTTACCGTTTTCAAAGATTTATCCTCATTTTTAAGATGGATTTAAACAAGTCAAATTCTCCAAATCCAGCCTTAGAACAGTTTAAATTCTATTCATAAACACTGCAGTTAAAAATAAATGTGACCAGAAATATAAGAATAAAATTTTTTTTTAAAATAAACCTAGACATTTGATAAAAACTGATGAATTTCTGTTTTAAATGTCATGTCCGCATTTCACCCAGCAGAGAGCAGTGTAGCAACAGATCTTTTCCTTAAAAAATTGTAAACAAACTATACTGCCTTCACTCAAAACACCACATCTTGAAAGAGAACCAAGTTGTCTTACAATGTAGTAATCTGTTATCAGTTTTAAAAAATATACTGTACATGTTTGTTTGTGTTTTTTTAAAGAAAAATAGTCACAGTGATTTTTGTCTTTTTAATGAACTATCATCGTTTTATTTGTAGTTTGTTTTCACTTAACTAAAAACAGAGGTGCCACTCTCAGTGGCCTCTGACCTTCACTGTACTGAGACACAGTCAGATTTGCGTAGGTGGCAGAAGGTAGGTCCAAATCCCCAGGACTGATGAATGATTAGAGGGGATTATTGGGAGGGCCGGGACAGAGCATCTACAGGAGCTCATTCTGATGTTGGTGGCTTCATAGTAACTGTTTCACTACAACCGCACTGTTCTCTCAGGACAAGAAGAACGAGAACCCCAGGATGTCGTCGGCTGTAAAAGAAACAACAGAGAAGAGCAGGGATCAGCGACACATGTTGAAGATCAGCGGTCACCATGCTGAGGTAGGAGCAAATATTCATTATCACTGTTATTTTCTCATTTATGAGTCCCTCATTATTCAATAAGGAACTTTCTCCTCCAATGATTAAAAAAATGTGAATCAAATTTGTAAGATTTTTTTATTTATATGCAGTAAATTGTTTTCAATTGTTGTAGTTTTACAGAGCTAACACTTTGTCATAGCCATCGTGCAACGACCACATCTTCATGGCTACCGGGCTAAGCAGCTTATGAGAGGTCCTTCAGGAAACTGTTCGTCCAATCCCTCTCCCCCTGGTCCTGGACACCCCCCCTGCAGGATAACCAGGTCCTTTCTCCTGATCTTCCTGTCTCCCACTCTTAATCTCTTTGGACTTTAGAGAAAAAAACTGAGAAAAGGAGAAAACAAAATGGCGGTCCTAAGAGTGACGTTTACCAAAACCAAGAGGGACAAGTTGGCCCAGGTCCTGTGGATCCTCAACTGGATCTCAGTGGTGACCGGGGCCATCTTGTTCAGTCTGGGTCTCTTCCTCAAGGTGGAGATAAACAAGCGCAGAGAGCTGATGGCTGACAGGGACATACAGTACGTACCCAACATGCTAATATCTGTAGGCCTCATCGCCTGTGCCATCAACTTCCTGGGTGGAAAGATTTGTTACGATTGTGCCGACAACACCAAGTTCCTGCGCTGGAAGCTGATCATGCTGCCCTACATCATATTCACCTTCTTCTTCACCTTCTGCGTCCTGGTGGGGGCTCTGTTGTGCTACACCATGCACGGAGAGCTGGAGGAGTCCCTGGACCAGGGCCTTACCGAGGCACTGAAGTTCTACAAAGACACGGACACACCGGGACGATGTTTCCTGAAGCGGACTGTGGACATGCTGCAGATAGAGTTCAGGTGCTGTGGGAACAACGGCTACAGAGACTGGTTTCAAATCCAGTGGATCAGCAACCGTTACCTGGACATGTCTCAGAGAGAGGTGGTGAAGTAAGTAGCATGAATGACGTGAAATGGTTGTTAACATTTGATGAAGGTGAAAAGGTCAGCTGTCTTTGCACACCTACAGGATTTGACAAAAAAATACTTTGATTTCTCCAAATCAATTTGTTCTTGTGTATTGTTATTCAGATTAGCAACAAGTAAGCTATAGATATTTTTACTCAAAAGAAAGTATTGGCAGTGAAATGATGCGTTTTGATTTTTTTTATCCCTGAAACTAACATGAAAATTACTAAACGCTAGTAAATTAGCAACACAGCAACTTAGCTCAGAAAGAGCCAGATACAAGTCCAACAGCCTAAAACTATATAGGTGCAAGCCAGCAAGCTACCTTAACCTTTAAAAACAATAGGTTTCAATATTATAAAATTAAAGTTTAGACTAGCCAAATGAACTATATGTTTTTTTCCCACAAGTTAGCCCAAAAGTTGCTAAAAGAAAACAAACATTTGGGACACAATAAAAGCTAGACAAAACAGCTAAACTGCTATCATAGCCATCATAGTAGCTGAACTTCAGTCCTGAACTACAATAGAAAAATATGTAAACTATACAAAGTTGAAAAAGTGACAAAGTTCAAAGTAATCTTACAAATGGTCATAAACAATACTTTATTACCACAGGACGTAACAGGAGTAAAAAATACTTCTACTAAAATCTCAGGGGTATTTGGCTAACAAGGTGTAGGGAGCTAAAACAGTGTTGGCAAACCATCAGAAAACTGTAGCAGTAGTTTGTAACATTTAGAACAAATGACCAGAACTAAAGCATGATGACGGTCATAGAAGAAAGCAAAAGAGAACAGGTATTTATCAGATAAATTATACTTTCAGTCAGTTTTCTGTAAAGGTTCAACTTTAACATCACACAAACCTCTTTCCAGTCGATTGAGGAGTAACGTGGAGGGAAGGTATCTGTTGGATGGTGTTCCATTCAGCTGCTGCAACATCAACTCCCCACGGCCGTGCATTCAGCAGCAGATCACCAACAACTCCGCCCACTTTAACTACGAACACCAGACGGAGCAGTTAAACCTGTGGATGAAGGGGTGTCGACAGGCCCTGCTGGAGCACTACAGCTACATCATCCAGTCCATCGGCCTGGCGGTCTTCATCAGCTGGCTGTTTGAGGTGAGGAAATACAAGTACAACACAAAATACAACATTTGTTTTATTTTCATGCTTTTATTTAACATTGAATTAATAGACAACAAGATCAAAGTGAAACCTCACTGAAAGTTTTCTAACTGTAAACATCCCTGCGGTGTTTTTCACAGCTCTCAGTGCTGACAGGGGTACGTTACCTACAAACATCTCTTGAAAACATGCTAAGGCACGGAGACCCCAACTCCGACTCTGATGGTTGGCTGCTGGAAAATGGCCTGATGGAAACAGCCCGCATTAACTTGAACATCATCAAAAACCTGGGAAAGAACAACCAAATAGACACTGCCAACAATGGAGACCCCAATATAAATGTCCCCTCCACGTCCACAGCTCACTATGGGCCAGATAATGTGCCACCAAAGCAGACATCTGAAGCCACCTGACCTCGGAACTGGAACCAATGCTGGTCTGTACTGAAAACTCTGCCCTCAGTTTATGCCTTTTTCAATTTTCTCAACTATCTAACATGTAATAAATCAATCTTATATGATGCAAACAACAAGAACATCATCACACCACAACAATGTGTACAACAGAACACATCTGTATGCAACTGTACTGTAATCTGTTTACAAGACATATTTACTGTTGCCTCAATATTGTTGTTGTTTTGTTTGTTTTTTTGCGGAACTTGTGAAAACTCTCATTTGTTTGTTTGGTTCTTAGTTGCAGGGCTGCAATGACATGGACTCAAACTGCAGCCAGTGATACTTACCTGTAGATTTAAATCATTGAAACCCGGTCCATCTCACTTAGTTTCCTTCTTCTTCATCTAGATGTGAAGCCAGAAGTTCTAGTTCGACAACTTTCAATATTAAAAATAAACATCTCTGGATATTCCAGAAAGCTGGTTATGTGAAAACTAAGTAAGTTGTGAGTAAGTTAAGCCCGAGACAGTCACCATGGTAACAGACTCTGTGAACAGAACCTGCTTTACTTGAAGAAACCCCGAGTTTCTGCCTGTCTCCTCCCATATGAAGAGCACTGTTTGACATTGATTGTCCATTCATTCCAAATCCGAGTAATACCGAAGCAGACATTATTCGAAATTTTTTTGTAAGAGAATCTTCCAACCCAGATCAGATGTTCTATTATTTCTAGAGGAATCTCTGTTCGAACGCTACCACTTTTCATTAAACTGTATAATTTATGTTGATAACATTCTCCAGCCATACGTCAACAATCTCACACAGTGTGGACTGTAATGACTACTTCCTGCATGCGGGGTCACTTCCCTTTTCAACGGTGTGGTTCTCTGACTTGACAGTGATGATAAACAGTCCGATGTCGGTAAGCGCTGATGTTCCTAAAAAAATTTTTTATATACATAAGGCCTTCTCCCGTATATCCTGTCCAATGACCTGTAATAAAACAGTAGTCGAACTGCGACAACTTTCATGTCCACTTATTTTTTCTTATATTTCTGAACATTTTTAAAAATAATTTTACAAACATTTTTGTCCAAATTTTTTAGTTTTTGGCCAAAAATGACATGAGAAATTCACATTGTGACAAAAAGTTTTATAAAAAAAAATTCTAAAAATGTTCCCTAAATGCCCTAATTTTATGAGAAACATGCAAAAAAAGATAACAATTATAAAAATAATTTTACAAACATTTTTGTCAAACTTTTTTTTTATTTTTTGAACAAAAATGACATAAAAAATGACATTTTGACAGAAAGTTTTATCAAAAAATATTTCTAAAATTGTACTCTAAATGCCCTAATTTTATCAAAAACATGAAAGCAAAGATACCCTTTTGAAAAATAATTTTACAAAAGTTTTTGTCAAACTTTTTTTAGTTTTTGACCAAAAATGACATGAAAAACAGACATTTTGACAAAACGTTTTTAAATGAAAAAATTGTAAAAATGTTCTCTACGGGCACTAATTTTATGAGAAACATGCAGGCAAAGATACAATTTTGAAAAAAAATTTTACAAACATTTTTATCAAAATTTCTTCGATTTTGACCAAAAATGACATGAAAAACTAATATTTTGACAAAAAATTTTCAACAGAAAAATTTGTAATAATGTTCTCTACGTGCACTAATTTTATGAGAAACATGCAGGCAAAGATACAGTTTTGAAAAAAAAATTTACAAACATTTTTTATCAAAATATTTTAGTTTTTGACCAAAAAGACATAAAAACCTAACATTTTGACAGAAAATTGTATTAATAAAAATTTCTAAAAATGTTCTCTATGT